AAAAAAAAAAAAAAAAAAAAAAAAAAAAAAAAAAAAAAAAAAAAAAAAAAAAAAAAAAAAAATATTAACCTGCGTATGTCGAAAAATCATTTTAGTTTAGGAAATATTTTGATTAGATTTTATAAAATTTATACATGACAGATAGGAACACTTCCTCGCCTTTTGTACTGCAAAATAGAGGTCAAAATACTCCCCAAATTAATTATCTTTCCACATTACATAAGTTCTTATTCTCTTTTCATAGAGAATACCGAGCTTCGTGTACGATTCTATTTAAGATAAAAAAAAAAAAAAGTTGCATCTGAAATTTCCTTCTTGCAGAACACTAGAATAACACAACAATAAAAATGGCAACAACGTTGGAAATACTAAGCTACGTGGTAGCGTTGCTCGTTGCGCTGTATTATTATTTCACGGCGAAGTTCAACTTCTGGAGGGATCGATCGGTCCCAGGACCGAAGCCAATACCAGTGTTTGGAAATATCTTCTGGCCGATGATCGGCAAACAGCCGCTCGCGGAGTTTTTGACGAACCTCTACCGTGAATACAAAAACGAGCCTCTCGTCGGGATATTCGTACGAAGAACGCCTTATCTCGTTGTGCAAGATCCGGACTTCATTAAAGACGTTCTTATCAAGGATTTCCCAACATTCGCGAATCGCGGATTTTTGTTAAACGAAGTGGTAAGTTGACCTTGCGTTTCAATGTCGTGTGTCGATGCTTATGATAATAAAAAATCACGTTTATATAGCAGTTGAATTTATCTTCAAGTGAAATAAAAAATATTTTTAAAAAGCCGAGGCTCGTCTCGATTTTTTTGTTGAAAAAAAGATCTTTCGAAAACTCGTGGCTTGCTCAAAATTGAGTAACCTTTCTGATCTTTGGGAGTGTTTGAAAAATGGCGAGAATTATGTGGGACATATTGTGTGTATATATATAATGTGTTATATATGATACAGTGTATATTATTATATGACACATTATAATTATAATATACATCTGTAATATAATATTACGTATTGTAACATTTTACGGTATAATGTAACTATAATATTGTACAATATTATCATATTATTATATATATTACATACGATATACAATTATAATTTTTTGTATTATTTATAATAACATAATTGCAAATCATTATAATTAGACAGATAATTAATATAATATAATCAATATAATTACATTGTATTAGAACAGAGTTAAATATAACATAATGATACAGTGTATATTATTACATAACACATTATGATCGTAATATACATCATTAAGATATTACATATTGTAACATTTTACGGTATAATGTAACTATAATATTGTACAATATTATCATATTATATATATTACATATGATTTATAATTTATAATTTGTTGCATTATTTATAATAACAAATTATAATTTTTTATAAATATATTAATATAATTTTTTATAAATTTTTTATAATAACATAGATTATAATTTTTTTAATATTTTATGATCAATTATAATTTTTTGTATTATTTCTAATAACATAATTATAAATCATTATATAATTTATATAATATTATAATTATATAATTTATATAATATTATAATTATAATCAACGTATAATTAATATAATATAATCAATATAATTACATTACAATATGACAGAGTTAAATATAATATTATTATATATAATACAATTATAATTATATAATAAATTATATTATATATATTACAATATTATAAATACAATTGTATAATAAATTATATTATTATATATATATTACAATATTATAAATACAATTATGTAATAAATTAAATTATATTATATACTATAAGATTATAAATACAATTATATAAGTAATATCGCACTATCTTCAGCAACAGTGACATTCTAAATGACAAAATTTCGTTCGATGACCATAGGCAGAGCCATTGTCGCAGCATCTGTTCTCACTGGAAGCAAAAAGATGGAGGCCATTGAGGTCGCAACTCTCACCGGTGTTCACATCCGGCAAGCTCAAAGGAATCTTCACCCTGATTCTCGACTGCGCCGAACACTTAGAGAGCCATTTGGGCAAACTGGTGAACAAAGCGCAGCCGATCGAGGTTCGTGAACTAGCGGCCATGTACACCACCGACGTGATCGGCAGCTGTGTCTTTGGAATCGAGATGAAATCATTGTCGGACGAGGAGAGCGAGTTTCGCCGAATGGGCAGAGAGATCTTCGCCACCCATTGGAAAGCGTTACTGAAGTTCAGGATGAAAGAATGCGCGAGTACGCTGTACGATTTACTCGGCTACGTCCTTCCGGCGGACGAGGTGAACGAGTTCTTCAGGAAGATCACTATCGAGACGCTGACGTACAGGAAGGAGCACAATATCGTCAGGCCTGATTTTATGAACACGCTGCTGGAGCTTCGGAACAATCCCGAGAGAGTGAAGGACATTAGTAGGTTTTCGTTCTATCTGTGAGATCAACCCTTGTGGTGGCTTGTGAAGATCTTCTAATTAATAATCGTATCATGTTATTATTGAGAGATTTACGTTAATTCCTCAATATCTTGTGTTTTCAATGTACGAAGTTCCATTTTCATTTGTCAATTTGCTGGAAATTAAATTCCAAAAGCTACGAAAGTGAAATTGAGAGAGGGCAATATGATTCGCGGACCATAACGAGTGACCGAACCGTATATATACAATATAATTCGTCGCTTTCTTCTTCCTTCGAACTGAATAGATATTATTGAAAAGTAATCAACTTATTATTTGCTTTGCCTGGGTTACATTTAAATATACTTAAAACTGAGAAAATTGGGGCAAAAAAAATTTCCAGCGCAAGAGGTTAAGGGTTGATTAGAATCTTGAAAGTAGAACCTTCGTTTACTAGAGAAAAAGATTACTAGATTATTTAATATCGTTAATATTTCAAGGAATTTAGTATTTCGTGTTTCGTATTTAAGTATCACGAATATTTTAATGTCCGTCGTATTTATTATTTTATCTCGTTTACAAAGAAGAAATTATAGGTACGTTCGATCGTCGTGTTTTAAATAATTTACTATTTCATTAGTAAATTGTAGCTATACTTATTATTATTAAGTAATTTATTATTCTATTTAATATTTCAACAGGACGAGTATTTTATAACGTCAGATTGTAAGTTAATTACATAAATTCGACAAATTTTAACATTTGCATCACTAAACAATAAATAGTCATTCATTTAACAACAAATAAACATTTGAGACAGGAAATATCATAGGAATAATTTCTTTTGTTAAATTGTTTTTCTTCTTTTGCACGCTGTTCACGAATTCGAAACCTTCTTTCGCTTCTTTCAAGAAATTCACTTCTGAAGCAGCTGAAATTCTTTATCATCTTTGAAAAATCCGATTCAATAAATAAATTCAACTATTGCCTGTATATCGATTTTCCTTTCAGAGTTAAACGACACGTTACTAGCCGCACAAGCGTACGTCTTCTTCGCGGCAGGTTTCGAGACCTCGTCCACCACCATCGCCAATGCTCTGTACGAATTGGCGCTGAACGAAGAGGTACAGAAGAAACTGCGCGAGGAGATCAAGGTGTTCGATCAGAAAACCGACGGCCAATGGAGATACGAGACTATAAAGGAGATGACCTATCTGGACAAAGTATTTAAAGGTTCGACCATGCAGAAGAATCGACACTTTTTCACTCTGCGACACTTTCCCCTCTTTTTTCTTCTCCTACTTCTAGAGACACTGAGGAAATATCCACCTCTGGCATTCTTGTTCAGAGAAACAACGAATGATTACACGTTCCAGTCCACGAAAGTGTCGTTACCGAAAGGCTCGAGAGTGTGGATACCGATATTCTCTATTCAAAGGGATCCAGATATCTATCCAGACCCGGAGAAGTTCGATCCTGAGAGGTTCTCGGAAGAGGCAGTAAAGGCGAGGAACCCCATGCACTATTTACCATTCGGCGACGGTCCAAGAAACTGCATTGGTACAATCATCGTATGATTCTGTTATACATTTATGTGATAATTTCGCTGAGACTTTTGTCGACGTTTTAACTCTCGTAGTTTTTCAATCATTTTTCTAACCTTTACAACTATACAGCCCTTTTTTAACCCTTACTTTTCGAAATTAATTTGTCAAATCTTTTGGTGCGAGATATCGAGTGGCAAAGAATTAATATCTACAACGAAAAAATAAATAGTTGAATTCTGGGAACTATTTCACTGACGATAAATAGACAACTTGAACATGAAAACCTACTCTCACGTGTATATTACCGCCATGTCAATTTATATTACGTTGCGAGTCAATTTCATATACTTAGTTTCCCTAGTTTTATCTGACGTTGTGATCTGTCGTTCTGGATTTGTCGCAGTTACGTTATTAAAAATATAAACAGTTAAACAAAATTACGTCATTTGAAATATAAACGGCCTGCATCTTCGCGAAAGTGGTTCATTGAATGACATAATAATATATTATTATATAAATAAATTATACCAAATTATTATGTTATAATAATATTTATATTATTGTATAAATAAATTATAATATTATTTATATAATAATATTATTATTAACTTTACAATTAATACAAGTCACCCACATCGTCTACATTGGTTTCTGTGATTTCAGGTGCACGTTTCGCGATTTACCAGACGAAGATTGGATTGATAAGGATCCTGCGCAATTACCAGGTGCAGGTTTGCGAGACGACACCGATTCCGTACGTGTTGGAACCAGTTGCGTTTATATTGTGCCCGAAAGAGAGATTGTACTTAAAGATAGTCAAAAACGAAATTTAATTCGTTGATTCGTTGCGTTAAAATGCAATCTCTTTTATTAATTTGTAATCAAAATTTTTTTCTTTTTTTTTTAAGTTAGGAATAAGAGGAGAAATTTCAATGATTTCACTCACTGTTACAAATACATGTAAATATATATAAAATATATATAAAATTTCTGTGGAGAATTATAAATTGGTCATTTAGACCATTTTGTTATTTTTAGCGTTAAGATTATATTGGTGCTTATATTTATATGTTGGTGGTTATATTTATATGTTTTAGTAAAAATCAAACGAGTCCCTAAGAATACACAACTGTTACAAATATATAAAATGTCCATGGAAAGTTATATATTATCTATGGTCAATTTATATTATAATTATTTATTTATATTATAATTTATATTATAATTATTATATTTTCAATTTATATTATAATTATTATATTTTCCATAGGAATTTTATACATTTGCTAGTCGGTACCAAAATCAATGATGTTAATTAAGTGTAAGAAACTTGTATCTGAACCCAACGGATCAATCAAATCCGTATTCATTTCATGAGAAATTTCAGTTCAGCTCTCCACTGACCAAAACTGTCAAATCATTGCGTTACGATATCGCTATCATTCCAATCTGTCCGATCTAGAAATGGTCACGTGTTTTCCATGGACTTGCCGGAGGCGATTAGAATAACACAAAATAAAAATGTCACGTCGCTTGCAGTTAGTCTCAGTTGGCATTCAAACACGACATATGTGGCAGACAATCTTCGTTCGTGATTAAGATAAAAAGTTGCGAGTACGTATGAGAGAAAATTACGTTTGATACAATATGGGACAAGTGATTTAATTCTTTAGAATTTCTAACGTTTCACGTTATGTACGATCCAGAATGTATGTGTGATCTGAGGAAGAAATTGCGTGAAATTCGACGATTGTCGAGAAATTTTCACGAGTTTTATCCCCATATCGAATCCGTTTTTGGTGGTGATCATAAATTAGAAACGTCGGTTCGACCTTCAAATGATATTCAAGTCAAACTCTCAATGCATACTTTGATTTAAAAACTTCGAGTATCGCTACAGAAATGAATCTTCCTCGTATCTTTTCTAAAGTGTTTTGCTTTTGGGATATCATCTCGAGTCTAGTAACTATTCTGCGAGTGTTGAATAAATTTTACTGCAAATCGTTTATGGCATTAGCAGAGTGTTGGCACCTACTTCTTTGTTTAAAATTTGATATACGAAATCTGTAAAAGTCGCCATACAAATGTGTAATAAATTATTCCCGTGTGTAGAGACTTTTGCTTTTACTTTTTGGTAATATTTTTCGATCTGCTAAAAACGGATGAGATATTGATATTGAGTGCGTCGAAACCAGTAAAATGGCATGAAACGTGTCCAAAAGTTCAGCAGATAACTGATAAGTTGTAACAGAAATTTTTTACATATTTATAAATTCGAACATAAAACAGAAATAGACTGCGTACTTTTGGACAATTTCTACTATTTTTGTAATACTTTGTGATATTTTTATGAAGANTAGTTATAGTCACAGTTAGAGAATTTTTTACGATCGCGAACATAAAACAGAAATAGACTGCGTAATTTTGGAGAATTTCTACTATTTTTGTAATACTTTGTGATATTTTTATGAAGATTATTAAAAAAAAATGGGACTCGGAAAATTATTTGATATATTATTATCAAATTATTATATTTGATATATTATCATTAAATTATTTTAATAATTATTAGGTACCATATTGAATAACAAATGTACGAATATCTGTGAACTATTAGTTATAGTCACAGTTAGAGAATCCAATTATAGGTACAGTTAGGATCACAGTTGCAGAAACAGTTAGACGTAATATCGGGAATTATCGAGCAAATTGCATCAGCAAAAATTCATTCAGATGTAAAAATGAGGTAAAAAGACGAAAACGAAAGATGCAATAGTACATTTTTGAGAAATATTTTTATTCTTGTTTGCTGGATCAAGTATCAACTCTTATCGCTGTAGTACTTGTATTGGCCGCGATAATATGTGCACGTATTACAGTAGTGAAATACTGCCCTGTTTGATAACCCAAGACTGCAGAAAATAGAATTTACCAGTCATCGATATTCGATAAAGAATTGGGTCGTTAGATGTAATAATTTGTCACACAGTTAAATTACCAACACTAGATTACCAACAAAAATCTGATTTTATTTGGTATTTTACAATCTCTACGAACAAAGGTTAGCAATGAATAGATTTTTTTACGCACATCACAGAAGAATGAGTGTAACAAGAAACTTGTTACGAAACGAACGCGAGAAATGTGACGACAATATTCAGATGCCAATTGAAATTGCAATAGAAAATGTCGAAGGCAGTGAATTAAGAGAATGATCCTTAATATAAGACACTTGAGTAAATAGTAAAATAAATTTTATTTCTGTTACTAGAAGCGAAGATTTATGAAATAGAAAATGCAAAACAAACAGATACATATTACGTTTTAGAATTTATTTATCATTTCATTGCCTTCGTTGCTTTCTAAACGCAACTGAACGAATGGTTTGAAATAAACATTTTCTCTGTTAATTTTTAACGATGTGCTTTCCATCCTTTAAAAGAATAATAGTGCATTTATAACTGCGAAATATAATACAGTATTATATATATGTGTGTATTACAGTATTATATATACGTATTATATACAATATATTATATTATATTACTGTATACAATAATATAATATTATAGTATAGTATAGTATAATATTATAGTGTACTATAGTATAGTATAGTACAATATTATAGTATACTATAGTATAGTACGGTATAATATTAGTATAGTATAGTGTAGTATAATATTATATATATATATATATTACAGTATTATATATTTTATGTACAAGTAATGGTATCACAAATGTGCATATAGAACATATTATGTTCTGATAAGAAATAAATGACGCATCATACCAATAAAATAAATTTATAAATAAACTTTAAATAAATTTTTAAATAAGATAAATTGTACCATAATAAGATGAATACTACTAGTACTAAAATAAGATAAATAATACTTCTCAACCGATATTACCTTCGTTGTAAATATCAAACTATTTGATTCGTCGTTTAAAAATTTGTATACACCTTGAAAAATAGAGAGACAAGTTTCATGATGCACGTTTCGGAGTATGATCGTTCATTGTTTTTACAGAACTCCTATGAGACTAGATAGAATTTATTATTCAATTATCAAGATTTTACAATATTTACAAAGACCTACGCATAATATTTTTGTCCGATGGCGTTCAATATGTTTTTTAAGAATTTTGCATTGTTCGAACAATGCACGTGTTGTTAATACAAGAACTAATCGTTGAAATTTGATTTTTATAGAAAGTCTGATGGATTACTTTCAACTTGTCTGCGCCATTGGCGCGGTGCTTTTGGCACTCTACTACTACTACACTTCGACCTTTGACTACTGGAAGATTCGCAACATAGTCGGACCACGACCCACTGTACTGGTTGGCAATTTGGGCGAGATTCTCTTGAGAAAGATGTCGATAAGCGATAAATTGAAACAGATGTATAACGAATATAAGAACGAGCCAGTGTTCGGAATGTTCGAGGGAATGAAACCTGTTCTCGTTATTAACGATCTGGACTTGATCAAAGACGTTCTCATCAAGGACTTCTCTCTGTTCGTTGACCGAGGATTTCCCATGCATCCAAAGGTATATTGCAACTACTTTAGTTTAAGTTGCAATTTTTATATAATTGTTCGACACGTGATGTTCGAAATTTGCGAACGTTAGAGATTATAGAAAAATATAACTCTCTAATTAATTATAAGAATTATTTTAACATGGTTGGATCTACTACTGATCTAAGTTTCAACGTCATAAAAATTAAGATTATACAAATAATAATGTAATAATTGATACAACGAAAAGATAAAACGTCTGATTATGGTTCGGGACGCGTGGATGCAGTGTTTTTGTATTTCAAATAATGTTAACAATGTTAATTTGATTATTTGATTATTTAGGCTCACACTGATGCTGGAACTATGATAAATCAAATGTTAGTGCAGTTTGATCCAGAACCATACATGCGAGCGTCCGTAATGTTAAATGATTAAGATACTTTCTTCGTCATTTTCCCTGAAACTCAAGGACAAGTTTTTCTTTCCACCCCGTAGCTATCTATATGCGACAAAATAACTTTTACAAAAAAACTTATAACTTTTTATAAAAAAAAAAATTTGTGTTAAATTAACGCAAAAAAAATGGACGAGAGGTACAAGAAAAATCTCTAATCCTTCACTCGTAATCGTAAAACATTTCACATTTCAACCTTCAATTCGCGAATTTCCAACCCACCAGTTCTAAATTTACTTGGACTTCAGAGACTATTCTGAAATTCACAAGAGGAAAATTTCTCGTTTTCAAGGCGGAACCGTTGAGTGAGCATCTGTTCGCCCTGGAGGAAGAAAGGTGGCGGCCAATGAGAACGAAACTCTCCCCGATATTCACGTCGGGCAAGCTGAAGGAGATGGTCCTCCTGATGCTCGAGTGCTCGAAGAATCTGGAGAGATACGTCGAGAAAGTGGCGCGAGCTGGCAAGCCGGTCGAGTGCCGTGATCTCGCCGCGAAATTCACGACCGACGTGATCGGCAGCTGCGCGTTTGGCATCAACATGAACGCGATCGAGGACGAGAGAAGCGAGTTCCGCGAGATTGGCAAGAAATTGTTCGAGCAGACACCGCGGATGCAGGCGCGAGACTTATGCAGGCAATTCCTGCCAAATTTCTACAACTTGTTCGGCAGTTTTCTGCAACCACCGGGCGTCGATCAGTTCCTGACAGACGTGATCACCGACACGATCAAATACCGAAAAGAGAACAACATTGCCAGGCCTGATTTCGTCAATGCGCTGATGGAAATTCAAGATCATCCGGAGAAGTTGGAAAATATAAGTGGGTATTATATTGGCGTTACGATGACAAAATTAAATTTCGTTTGAAATCGTTTCACTGGGCATTCGAGTTTTTATTAATAATTAATATTAATTATGCTTGAGCAGAGGCTTCATGCTTTAAAATAAGCCCAGGTTCATAGGTACGATCTTTTCTTTTACGAAATCACAACAGTTTAAATGTTTAATGGGAGATCGCTAAATTCAATGGGGTTTGTCGACGATCTCGTGGATGAAACAGGTGCAACGTTTCATTCTTAGCTTACTGTGAAAGTAAATAAATTTCTGTTAAATAATTTTCTGGAACATGTTTCCAATCTTTCGTTTCGATAAATAATCGTCTGATCAGATAGAACAGTGACACCGAATTAACTCTCGAATTCCGCCCTTTCACAGAGTTGACACCTTCGTTCATCGCCGCGCAAGCGTTCGTCTTCTTCACAGCTGGGTTCGAAACCTCGTCGACGACGATGTCTCACGCTCTCTACGAGCTGGCGCAGAATCAGGACGTACAAGACAAACTGCGTAAAGAAATCCGAGAAATTTACGAGAAACATGGTGGAGAGATAACGTACGATACACTCAAGGAGATGAAGTATCTGGAGAAGGTCTTCAAAGGTGTGTCGAGACACTGAAAAAGAGTTTTAATTACAGAGCTCTCGATTTCCGTGAATTTGTTTACTTACATGTTACATCAGAGTCAATTACATAACTTGGTATCTGTTGTGCTGTTTCGAAGATAAGCACAGTTTTGTTAACGAAAATTGTTTGGTGTAAAAGTACGATATGGAACGATATGATATTTTTTTAAATGGAAGGACATTTAAAATCACCTGCATTTTTCTCACATGGAATGATGGATATATATTTAAAATTCTACGTATGTCAAAAAAAAAAAAAAAAAAACTATTAGTCTAAAAGGTATTTTAACTTCAATTTTATAAAATCTGCGCATGAAAGAGCACTGTTGTCCCTGCGTTCTTTCGTACGATAGATTTTACAAAATTAAGATTAAAATACCTCATAAGTTAATAGTTTTTCGATAACACGTAGATTCGTACTTTTTTCTTTTCTAATAAAAAAGCAAAAGAGAAAAAATGCAGCATTTCATTTAAAAAAATTTGAAAAAAGATCCACCCAGCTACAAAAAAGAAACTATTGCTGTCGTGTTATGGCTCCCATTGTGACTAAACTTAAATTTTTATCAACAAAGTCCTTTTGTATCTTCAAAAAACAAAGCTGATCAAATTACGTACGACATAACACGTAATATGTTAATATGCGCTACATCAACTGACTTTACTTCATTGCACATGCATGGATTCAATTCATTAATGATTCTCACAAATATGTTCAATTTAATTTACCCATTCGCAGAGGTCCTAAGGATGTATCCATTATTATCAATGTTAACCAGAGAGGTATCGGAGAATTACACGTTCAAAGGCACAAAGATCACCATAGAAAAGGGGATGACAGTGTGGATACCAGTTTATGGAATTCAAAGGGATCCGAATATTTATCCAGACCCGGACAAATTCGATCCCGAGAGATTTAACGAGGACGCTATCGCTTCTAGACACCCTATGAGTTTTCTGTCTTTTGGTAATGGGCCAAGAAACTGCATTGGTACGTTAACGAAATATTAGATTTCCATTTGTGGAACATTGGTAGACGCAACGAGTGCACCCAATAAGTAAAAATTTGTGAAACATTTAAAAATAGATATATATATATATATATATATATATATATATATATATATTTATTTGTTATTATTAAGATAAATTCTTAAGGCACAATTCTTCATCTGGATTACATTTCTTGAAGAATGAATTTTTCTAAATATTCGTGATTACAAATCAATATCCTAAGCTACTAAATTGATATCAAATAATCATTAAAAGTCAAATAACTATTGTGATTTAAGTGATTAATTGAATCAATTGAGTAATTAACGAAAGTTTTACATAAAATTACAAGGAAGCATTGTTTAATTCAGTTATCAACATATTTTGGTATGCTGTCCATCGTACATTTCCGTTTAAACACTAAATTCTCTGTCCTTGATATATAAAATTGGGAATTAGGTTAATATTTTTGATTTTAAATTTCTTGCCAGAGAGCAAATAAACATGTAATTGTTGTAATAATAATTTTCAGGTGCCCGTTTCGCGTATTCCCAAAGCAAGATTGGACTAGCAACGATTCTTCGTAATTACAAAGTCGATGTTTGCGAGAAAACTAAGATTCCATATGAAAGTGATCCGTACCTATTTTTGTTGACACCGAGAGATGGTGTGCACTTGAAAATAACCAAAGTGGAAAATTAACAAAACTAACTAATTTTATCAATGATCTTTTCTCCAATGTCGTACTAATTTCATTCGTGAATCTTTGATGGAATCTTTGGATGGAAAATTTGACAATTACAAAGGCTATGAACACTTCAAATTTCGATCTCATCATAGTCCATAAAATTTGTATAAATTATGTGTGTAGATATATTATTATTATTGCATATATTATCACGTTAATATATATATTATTTTGCGTTAAAATGTTACTGTAAACAGAATAAATGTATTAAAATTAGAAAATAAAAGCATTCGAGAAAATTGTATCAATGTTCTGATGATTACTTTGTTCGAAATGGGAAACGTAATTTATGAACTGTAAAACTAACAGAAACAAAAATTTGAAACGCTCGTCAATTTTGAATAATACATGGAATGGAAATAAACCATTAGATCAGTGATTTTACTTTTCAATCACTGTAATTTACTTCACTATAATTTCGTATTTATCGCCAGTATTGTATTTAAAATTCAACATTGAAATCATTTGAATATAAAATACTGTTGCATTTGTTTGAGATATATAATGTGGAAAAATAGAATTACAATTACGTAAATATTACGTAAACGATTTCAATGTTTTTAAATGATATCGAACACTTTGCATTTGATGGAAAACTATTTGCCAGAGGTAGTATAATAATTTTTATAATTTTATACGGATATCGCTATTAATGAAAATGTAAATTGTAAAATGCGACAATTAACACGTTGGCAAGCACTGAAGGTTGATTAATCACGTTTGTTCCAAGCATATTTTGTCTAAAGTTTTCAATTAATATTTCAGAAATTAATAGAGAACCGCAAGTTTTATATTCGAGGTTTTTCGAACTCCATCCCTTTTCAAAATTTCGTTTCTTTCTGACTGAATGAGTCAGCTTGTCTCTGAAGAGCAATTATCTTAATCTGACAATGATAAGTTTTATTAGACACACAGGTAAACAGGATGACTCTCGGGAAATATTATTTCTAGATAAATTACAGATAAATTACTAAAACTGTCTCATCACGAAATGATACAGCATGTTTCACGTATGTATGTATGTATGTATGTATGTGATTGTTCAATTCCAAATAATAGCAACATGTGAGATTCACGAGGCACACTCATTGTCAGATGTAATGTAATTTGTCCGATTCAAACTTATCTTTTTTTATCTACTTATTTGAGTGCCAATCTAATGGTTATTTTGATAATTGAGCATCTGCTTCGAATTTTCTATTCCCTCCATCTTCTCAATAATTTTATTATCGAAATTTCCTTCGTCTTTCGTTTTCTCAGTTTAATAACTAACAACATCCAATTCTCATGTTTCTGACATTTATTTTCGTTCATTTTCGAACATTTTCTCGTACAGCAATCTTTGAACATTCGTAAAGTTATTAGACTTAGCGTTTTATCATATTTAGAAGTAATTTACGGCAGATATTTTAGTCGTTAGAGAACTAAGTTTTTGCTAGTTTTGTTAATGAAAGTTTAAAACTAGGTCATCTGTTCCGACTTAATAAGTCTGCAAGTCGATAAATAAAAAAATTTGTTTTTAAAATTCTTCCAACAAATATTTTAAACTCTCTTATAACACAATTCTATACTCTACCCTATATTCTTATAATATGAATCTATCTTCTATTTTTTCAAATCTCTTGTAATATAATTCTATATCACTTATATAATTTTTTTAGGATTCTATCTATATAATTATAATTGTAGCGCACCTTCGTGTGAAATTATAATCTGCAATTATATATTATAATCCTAAAAAATTATATAAATGATATAGAATTATATTACAAGAGAATTTGAAAAAACAGAAGATAGAATTATATTATAAAAATATAAGACAGAATGTAGAATTATATTATAATCGTTTAAAAAATTACAAGCATATTATAATTATAATTATATTATAATTCTAAAAAATTATATAAATGATATAGAATTATATTACAAGAGATTTGAAAAAACAGAAGATAGAATTATATTTTAAAAATATAAGGCAGAATGTAGAATTATATTACAAGAGAGCAAAAATTTCTTGGAAGAGATTTATCAAAATCATTCCTCGATATTTACAATCGTTCAACAGATCGTACAACGCCTGACGTGTGTAAATACATGTATACATGTATGTATGTATGTATGTATAAGAACACTCTGCTGAACGTCGCAGTCTCGCGGCAATTTCAGTTGATCTCCGACATCAGACGAGATCTCATCTCGTGACTTCACGCTCCAACGATACTCGGAATACTATAATTCATTATCAATCCGGTACTTCGCACTAATAATAGACAATTCATTATTGATCCAGTTTAGAGCAAGTAAGTAACAGCTCCAATTTTCTATTCGAAAACGTTCTCGAGATTAACATCGCGAAATTGAAATTTGAAGTCGCAGTTGTAAAGTGCGCAAACCTGTTTGTCATTAAGCGCAATCTACACCAACCTAGATCAACTAAGAATAGAAAATACTCTTGCTGATAATGAAAAATGAATGTCGTTAAATTCTACATGGTTTTCTGACGTTTCACTGTGTAACGTGATGTTAGAAGGTTTCAACACTATATAGTTAGTGAAAGAATTGTTGAGTAATGTATCGTAAGGTGATAAATCGTGATAAATGCTAAATTGGCATAATTCCTATATTTTTGTGAAAGCAAATGACGTATTAACTAATCATAATTACAGTTCCGATAGTCATAGTCTCCGTAAGTAATTTTAGTGGTGTCATAAATGTGAGGTTAGGTGTGTCAATACTTCGCTGACCTTCTGTATCACGCTCTACTTGTTCAGAAGTGACCAAATATTTGCTGAAGATATAATCTTTCTGATAAAATTAAAGAAAACAAAATCACCAATAATTCTGATGAATTTTTTTAAATGAAATTTTTAATGAAATTAGAGAGAATAAAGTCACCAATGATACTCATTCACAATTTCGAAAAAAGAAACAGACCGTTTTCAAATACATTTCGAAAATGAAAAAAGGCGACAGGAATTGTCAGCGATAATTTTTGTTCACCCGAATTTAGCCAATTGCAACATGGATTACTACCAACTCCTGTTCGCCGTTGGTGCCATTTTTCTCGCCCTCTATTACTACTACACCTCGGTCTACAACTATTGGAAAAACCGTGGTATACCCGGGCCAAAACCATCGATGTTGACTGGAAACATTATGGGGCCCCTTACTCCGAAAACGTGCCTGGCCATAGCTGTGAAAAAGTGGTACGACGAGTTCAAAAACGAGCCATTCTTTGGAATATACGAAGGACAGACACCGGTGCTCGTGGTCAACGACCTTGAACTGGTCAGAGATGTGTTCATCAGGGACTTTTCCGTGTTCATGGACCGAGGAACTAAAATATTCGACGAGGTATGCCTTTACGATAAATTAAGTCACACATTTGCTTTGTGGCAAATTCACTCCGTATCGTGCGACTTTTTTTGAATTTACGTGTGCATAGTTTCATCTTGCTGATCGACACTTTTAGAGTATATAACTGTAGATTAGGCAAAGTTAGACTTGTAAGTGAAAGAATATTTATCGAGCCGAATAATTTTGTTTTAAAATTAGAAAATTTCATATTTCCACGACATTTGTTGTTTGTTCATCTATTGTTTATGTTTATAATCTAATTAAACATGCAAATATTAAGGAATGATGCAAATGAATAATATCTGTGTACTTCAATTAGTAAAATTGGTTTGTAATTTAATTACGATATATATAAATTAATGATTTATATATAATTTATATAATTTATATACATGTATTAATTATTGCAATTTTATAATTTAATCTATATATGTGTAAATTTATTTATTTATATAACATAAATCACTTAGAGTTCTGTTTTTTAATGTAAATAATTATTATTAACATCAAGGCTAGCATATAATCATCAATAATGTCTATCACCTTGGAAACTGCTTGCCAATTTGAGTAGTAGACCGAGATTAGAGAGTATACTATAATATACACTGCGTGATAGTATCTACCTTGTTGAATTTATAATAATTCATTCTCTGATATAAGAACAAAGTATCGCAGAAAAGAATCTCGAAACTTTGATCTTTGACAAAGAAAAGACTGCTAATGATAATTAAAAAATTATGCAGATGAGATTTTCAATCATATATAGTTGATGCAAATTTTTTCGAACATTTGTGATAAATCACGATGAAAAGGAAATAATATTGCAATAATAAATACGCAATTACTTAAAAAAAAAAATGTACACGTCGTTTATGCAATCAATCACTGATACAATCACAATCGAAAATGTTGTCATTTCACGATCAATTATATCAATCGTAATCTTTCGTTATTTTCCATTATTTTCCTCGTTCATTAATCAGTTGTTTATCATTTTATTAGTATCTTGATTTCGCATTAATCAGCGTTGCTTTATATTATACAATTTTTTCCGTTGTCGATCAAAATCAAAATTTCGGGAAATCAAATTTGCAAAGTCAAAAGTGCAATACAGGAAAACATATACTATAAACGAAAGAGAAAGTCTGTCGAGTTGGTTAATTTATTACAGTCCGATGAAAAATTTATGGAGAACAGAATTTTTTCTATCTGCGATGTTTTTCATTATTATCTTTTAATTAAACACATGATCTATCGATATTCAACGAGGTATTTTCAATCTTTTTTTAAAATTGGAGCGGCACGAAAGTTATTATATCGAAATAAATTATTCGACACGAAAATTATATATTGAAATAAATTAGTCGACATGAAAATTATTATATCGAAATAAATTATTCGGCACGAAAATTATATATTGAAATAAATTATTCGGCATGAAAATTATTATATCGAAATAAATTAGTTGACATGAAAATTATTATATCGAGATAAATTATTCGGCACGAAAGTTATTATATCGAAATAAATTATTCGACACGAAAATTATATATCGAAATAAATTAGTCAACATGAAAATTATTATATCGAAATAAATTATTCGGCACGAAAATTATATATTGAAATAAATTATTCGGCACGAAAATTATATATTGAAATAAATTAGTCGACATGAAAATTATTATATCGAAATAAATTATTCGGCACGAAAATTATATATCGAAATAAATTATTCGGCACGAAAATTATTATATCGAAATAAATTAGTTGACATGAAAATTATTATATCGAGATAAATTATTCGGCACGAAAATTATTATATTGAAATAAATTAGTCGACATGAAAATTATATATCGAAATAAATTAGTTAACGTGAAAATTATTCTATCGGAATAAATCATTCGGTACGAAAATTATTATATCGAAATAACTCGGAGGGCTAAAATCGAAATTTTGTTAATTTTACTAATCACGCAGATAGAGCCGCTAACGCAACACCTTGCCTTCTTGGAGCCAAAGAGATGGAAACCGTTGAGACCGAAACTGTCGCCGGTGTTCACGTCCGGCAAGATGAAAGAGATGTTTCCCCTAATCGCGGAATGCACGGGAAATTTGGAGAATCTTCTGGACAAAGTAGCGAACAGCGGGGAGCCAGTGGACTGTCGCGATATGACGGTGAAATTCACGATCGACGTGATCGGTAGCTGCGCGTTTGGGATCCACACGAATGCACTGGCGGACGAGAACAGTGAATTCCATGCGATGGGGACGAAAATGTTCAATCTGAGCTTGAAACAAATAGTTCGCGAGTCTTGCAAGCAGTATGCCCCGTCGTTGTTCAAAGTGATCGGCAGTTACCTCCGAACGAAGGAAATCGACGACTTTTTCATCAATCTGGTACGCAACACGATGAACTATAGAGAGGAGAACAACGTGTTTAGGCCAGACATAATTCACATGCTCATGGAACTGAAGAAACATCCAGAGAAAATAGAGAACATTGGTAAGTTCGCAGTTTGAAGCAAATGAAACAAGCAAATGATCGTGGAAAGCACATTAATCGCGGATTCGAATGACGAATGTTCGTGATCTACCATCTTACGGATAACAAATTTAAGTTTGGCAATCTGGTTCGTCACGATTAATTTTTTTTTTTTTACTTTCAGAGATACTTATTGAAGTCTCTGCTTTGATGTGCAATCATATATTGAACGGAATAATCCGGAATAATCAGTAGAAACGAAAATTCACTTTGAAGAAACTTAGAGTGGAAATCTTGACACTGAACACAGGTTTTTGTCTAAAAAATTTTGAATGATTCTAAAGAACTTAAGTAAAGCCGATCCTGTAGATCAAAGATCTAATACATTAATTATTGGCCGGTTTAAAAATCTGATTTAAAATTCTACGTTCATTTCGTCCAAAATTTTATTTACACCTCCGATTTACATTTAATTTCTACTAAATTCCTTCACACTCTGCGATATAAAGTGCCAGTATGTTTAATTTTGAGAATAGCAATAAAAAAAAAAACAAAAAATCGTGTGTTTTACAGAACTGACCGACTCACTGCTCACCGCGCAGGCGTTTGTGTTTTTCGTGGCTGGATTCCACACCTCCTCGTTGACGATGGGACACGCTCTGTACGAATTGGCGCAGCACCAGGACATACAGGACAAAGTACGACAAGAAATTAGAAATGTGCACAAGTCCGGTGGAACGTTGAATTACGAAAGTGTAAAAGAAATGAAATATCTGGAGAAGGTGTTCAATGGTGTGTACTAAACTTAGTTATTATCACGCTGCAGATTTTTACGACTGATTCATATTTTTGCGGATAGAAATGAGAAAATTGGCAATATTCGAATACTATTTTAAATATTTTTTTACATCTTACACGTTGTGCAATACTGCACAATTCTGTATATCTTGCAAATGCACAAAAATCCAATATTTTTGCATTTCAATTCTTTTTCTTTTCCTACGTAAAAATTCAATCCAAACGAACAGAACATTTATAATATGGTTGTGGACGTTGTCTTTTTCTTTCTTTTTATTTTACTAATTTATTTTGAGAAATTATTAAAATACGTGAGACACGAAATTTTATTAAAAGAACTATTAAATTGGTATGATACAATATTATATAGTATAATATTATAGTATAATAAATATTAGTATAATATTATGGTATAATAAATATTAGTATAATATTATATATAAAATATATTAAAAAAATATAAAAATATAAATTTTATATAAATATATATAAAATATTATATATAAAATAAAATATTAGTATAATATTATAGTGTAATAAATATTATATCATATAATACATAATATATACTAGCATAATTATAATATATAGTAATATAGTTATATAATATAAAAAACTACTAAAATTCAATTCTGAGATGAATTAACGTTTCGTTAAATCCGTGAAATGAAGCTGAATGGTGATTTAGTTTAATGGAATAAATATTCTCTGCTCTTTTTTTTTTTTTTCGCAGAAACGCTGAGAAAGTATCCAATAGTGCCAAGATTAACGAGAGTAGCAATGGAAGATTATACGTTTAAGGGTACAAAGCTTACTATATCAAAGGGAACAAAAGTACTGATACCGGTATATGGATTTCATTACGACTCAAATATATATCCAGATCCTGAGAAATTCGATCCAGAAAGATTCAACGAGGAAGCTGTTGCTGCGAGACATCCCATGACTCATCTACCTTTTGGCAGTGGGCCGAGAAACTGCATCGGTATGTTAACAAACTATTAAATTGTTTCGTAAACTGCTGCTCACATTTATCAAAAGAATATTGAAAATTAATTACTCAGTTAATTCTTTGCTAAAATCTATCAAAAGAGCATTAAAAATTAATTAACTATTTAATTCTTAATTAATTAAAGTTCTAACTATTTAATTATTTAATTAACTTAACTATTTAATTCGTAATTAATTAATTTAGAAGACGTATTTTATTTCCTCATTTAGAACTATTCTATATTATAATCAAATCAATATCTAATCAAGAAGAAAATTCGATCTGTTATCCAATATGTGAAAAAAAAAACTTCCTCCCGAAATATTAAAGACGAGTAATTTTTCTGCGATAATTTTCAGGTGCCCGTTTCGCACGCTATCAAAGTAAGGTTGGTCTCGCAACGATTCTTCGCAATCACAAAGTCGACGTTTGCGAGAAAACTATGATCCCTTACGAACTTGATCCGCGATCACCTATTTTGATACCGAAAAGAAGTATACATTTGAAATTAAGCAAAGTGGCGAATTGATATGATCACTTTCACCTAAAAAATCATACCTAATCACTATCGAGAAGGCTGTAATGTGCAAAATAAAATACTTTTAATTTCAGTAATCTAGAATAAATTACTATATTCACCTGTGATTCCATGATACTAGTTAACAGTTACGTTTCAAATGCTTTGAAAATGAATAATTTGAAATGTTGAATAACACCAATTTGTATAAAATGTTGACAATGTGTTGAGCTAATATTAATATAATAGTTTATGAGAACTCTTGAAATTGATAATAAAATTTTTAATTTAATTTTATTTGATTCTTTTTTTATTTTAATTCGATTTAATAAAAATCCATTGATATATTAAAATATCAAATCACTTTATACCATCACATTTTTTTAAAATAAAAATCTAATATTTATTTGAAATATTAAATTTCAAATTTTGCTCATGCTCCTTTTTTTCTACGATTGATTTATATATGATTGAGTAATATATATGTAATATTTTGCGTATATATTAAAACATGTCAAATATATTGAAAACGGAAGGTCAAAAAATAAGAAAAAGTTAAATAAAACTTTCACTTATGTATTTTACGAGATAGTGAATTATATAGCGAATTATTCACTTTGAACACTCCTGGTAACTCTAGTTTTAATTTTTGCGAAACATTATGTCGCAATAAAAGTGCAATGAAAGTAATTTTACAAGTTTTATAATACCATCTAGTTATCTGTATACGAGAAAAAATGTTAAACCTAAAAAGATAACTGGATAATAGCGTGCATTATCCACTTATCTTTTTAAGTTTAACATTTCTTCTCGTTAATGTCCATTTTACTTCAACACTAGAACTAACCGACTAAACTAAAGTATAAATATCTTGTATTAAAGAAGTAAAATGCAAAAGGTACGAAAATGTTTGTAATACGATACGAGCTATCACCTATACGCTTTGTCAAAATAAAATTCAAATTTTTTACGAGTGCTAAATATATAAAATTTCTATGAAAAATTGCGAATTAGCTTGGTCGCTTCGATCGTTCCGAAATACAATTGATGAATCTAACTTTACTGGTTATCACTAGATCAGTAGCAAAAAAAAAATTGTTTTCCTTTGAAATTATTCTATTTTCTAATCGTTTAGCGAGTTTATTGTTGCATTAAGAATTATTTTTAACATTACTCGCGATATCGATTATCATGATGCGTCAGCAAAAGATTGAACTGAGCCTGTTGATAATTTGTATCATAAACTCTACGATTACACTGGATAAGTCATGTGAAAAATTGAAAATTCATACATGAAATATCGGAGTAAACACTCATGTGAATGGCGAATAATTGTTACTTATGAGACACGAAGTCGATGTCGAGAAATTCAATTATCAATTAATCGGAATGACGCTTAAAATTTAAGTTTTTAATAATAAGATTAACCTACATTGTTAAACTTATCTTATCGTTAATATAAATGTCACGTAATTAACTGCATCGTCATTTCTCATCGAATTAAAGTTGAAGAAGCAATAAATAAGCAAAATAAATAAACAAGTAAAATACAAACTGAGAAGTAAATAAGAAGAATCTTGGATCTCTAGGTTTTTGAAGACCGGAGGATTTCAATTTACTCGCTTTTCAGTTTATCAAGACATTATTGAAATTTAATTTTTACTCGGGGATTTGTTTCATTCGTCAAATATTATATTTCGAGTATTTTATGTATTCCTTGCATTTTTGTTCCTATAAATCCATAAAAATTTTATTTATGAATGTACAAAAATTGTGAAAAAGTCATCTCGATTCAATTTGAACTTCAGAACTTCACTTCTATAACTATCGTTTCCTTGAAATTGAAACTTTTTGTGACCGATGCTTCATTCCAAGATTTAACAATAAAATGTGCAGCCTTCATTCTAAGATTTAATAATAAAATTTACAGCCTCAAGGACACCAGGAAAAATCAAAATTTCCCTTCTGAAAATTTAATAATAAAGATGATTTAATAATAATAAAGATTTAATAATAAAAAGAAGATTTAATAATAAAATGTGCCTCCGTGAATTTGACTCCGTGCGTAGAAGATTATACAGCCTCAAGGACACTGAAACTAACCTAAATCACTGTTACTGTCGCTCGTATAACGCTGTACAGTTAGTATCATTCTACGTTTTCTGTGAGTCACAATATTTTGTCGGATGGACAAAATCTATTGCAATTCGTACAAATGTAAAAAGATTTTATGTTGACAAGATTGTTGTGTAAATTTATGTTCATTGTGTATGCATGTAACAGTGATCCACTATCGGTTACGTAAATAGTAACTATATTTACGCAGTTTATATTTTGTTTGTATGTTCGTACGATAGCTAGGAGTTTTAATACTATTTTATGATTTTTGAAAGAAATTCTTTTCCTCGAAAGTTCTGATGTATCGCGTAAACAATTCTAAGAAATACGAAAATATACTTCGTCACGGAGGAATGATCGTGCTGATAATAAATCAATAAGCATCATCGTTTTTGTCACAGTGCTGTTACGCTCAAGTTTCAATTTCAATTATGTTAAAAACTATTATGGTAATTAAATAGACTGTGGATTTTTGTGCCAATTTTTTCTTTTTTTTTTTTGCAACATAATTAAACAAGTGGAAGCTGAATAAAAATTCGTTTCACTCCATATATATATGTATATAATAAATTTGAATGTTTAGTCATGTTTCGTATGACTTTGCACGCAAATATTTGTAATTTCCTATAAATGCAAGTAACGTTGGCAATCCAGTTTTATAATTTGAACGAGTGACTAGGTAAAATAATGATTTATTCAATAAATCTTTCTCACTCGTGTGTTTCATGAGACATGATTATGTAAGAAAAGAAAAACACGCAGTTGAATGTTAGTAATTAGTAATTACCATATAGTGTTACAAATATCAAGAAGGACGTTAAAATGTATCGGATAAAAATTTCTTTTTGTTTTGGGAAAAAGCTTTGTAAATACATGTATAATTATATTAAATGTGAATTTATGAAATGAATTTCTATTAAAATATCATATATACTGAAAAGAAACTTAAAAAAAAAAAAAATAGAGTACATATTTATACAGAATATAAATAAACAATCAAGCCGAATAATTTCGAAACAAAATTAGTTAGATTCTATTAATTACTTTCTCAATGATATGTTATTATATTGGAGTTTTTTTCATTGATAAAGTCAGACTGCTTTATGTAAATTCTCCAAAATCGTAAAATACGTATAATAAATTTTGTTCGACAAATATCTGATGAAATTTATCAATTACGATCATCATTCTCATGATGCTTATTTATTTAATATGAGTCAGACTTGTCCAACATATATCTATAAAACAACTTGCGTTCGACACTAGAACTTCAGTTGACTCCTGACGAGACACTGAATCTTCTAACTCTATTATGATTTTTAAAGCATTATAACTATTTATTTGAAGAGTGTGCAATATTATTGTGTATATCTCACAAGTGAGTAACAATCGAGTTAACGTTCCACGAGGATAAACTACAAAAATTTTCATGTCGCAATTTGTAATTTCTGCCGACTGCTGATAATCTTCCTTTTCAATATTAAACATAACCGTATGAAAAGACTAACCTTGCTTACCGATACTGTACCGAGAGTATATTAAAGTGTACAGATAATAAAATCGATAATAAAATTTCGTGATAAATGTATGTTGGCGAAAAATCGTAAAATCGAAGGTTACAAAATTGTTTCGTGTATACCAAATATTACGCAAGGTGAATTCTAAGATATCTCACAAGTGCATAAAAGTTCGCAGGCCATGAAAACAATTACAACCTAGTGCCATTCTTCGTTTCAACGAAGTAGTTTTTACACACTCACGTTTTGACCTTAAAACGACTAATTTTTTACAAGTAGTTTCTTTCAGATAACCGATTCGATTATTCGACATTGATAATATAATAATATCGAAACTTGTATAATGGTACAAGTTGCATGAAAATGATCAAGCTAGAAGAACGTCAGTAATACTAACAATAAACGATTTTTTAACTTGGTTTGAAATTTAATCTGTCAGAATATGGATTATTATCAACTTTTCTTCGCTATTGGCGCCGTGGTGCTGGCGATCTACTACTATTACACTTCGATCTACAACTATTGGAAGAATCGTGGCATACCGGGACCAATACCAGGCCCGTTTCTTGGAAACTTTTGGAACGTTATCACTAGAAAATACGCGACGGCTACACTTGTGAAAAATTGGTACAACGAATTCAAACATGAACCAGTTTTCGGAATATACGAGGGAACGAAACCGCTTCTCGTTATCAACGACCTGGAATTGGTTAAAGACGTTCTCATCAGGGACTTTTCCTTTTTTATGGACCGAGGGTTTCAAGTATTCGAAAAGGTATTTCCTATATTATTATTAATTCACGACGTAACTCTGACATTTGTGAATGCATGACGTGATTTATTTCTTTGCCAACTAAAATTTCGGAATCGTAATTGCAGAGTGCGAATTATCGTACGTGACATTTTCAAAAGTGAACAAAACAATGGTACGATAAATTCGATCTACAATTCTTCACATTAACAAACGCTTAAATATTCAAATATTAAATATTTAAACTGTTCCAAGTTCATAAAACAAACCTCGAAAATGTTATAAATTATAAATGTCGCAATTTATGAAATGTTATAGATGTTACAATGTATGAAAACGATGAAATGAACAATTCATTTCATTACTGAATTTATATGACGGATCGAAGCTAGTATATCGATACTAACAACAGTTTCTAAAAACTCGAAACGAGTGAGCAGACTTTATCAAAACTAAAATTCCTATAACAATTTAATATTTAGATAGAGCCGTTGGCACAACATCTGTTTCTTTTGGAATCTGAAAGATGGAGGCCACTAAGATCGAAACTATCACCAATATTTACATCTGGCAAGCTGAAAGAGATGTTTCCTCTTGTTCTGGAATGCGCGGGAAATTTAGAAAAGTTTCTAGACAAAGTAGCAGACAGTGGAGAGCCAGTGGATTGCCGTGAAATGTCTGCGAAATTCACGACCGACGTGATCGGGAGCTGCGCGTTTGGGATCAGCATGAACGCGCTTGAGGACGAAGACAGCGAATTTCGAAGAATGGGCAGACAAATTTTCACTGATTTCAAAGTACTGGCTCGGATCGTTTGTAGACAATTAGCACCATCTCTGATTAAAGTATTCGGCAGATGGCTTCAATCGACGGAGATTGACAATTTTTTCATCGGTATAGTGCACGACACGATGGAATACAGAGAAAAGAATAACGTTCGTAGGCCTGACATGATTAATATGCTTATGGAACTGAAGAACCATCCAGATAAAGTGAATAGTATTGGTGAGTAGGCAATTTAACTGTTCACTGATATTACTGAAAATAAAGTCGATAAAAAAGTGTAGAATTAAATCACCTAATTGTGGAATTTTTTACTTGATTCAATTCCATCATTATTGTCTGTCACGTACAAAATGAAATTAAATACGAAATACAAAATCTTAGTGATCCACTACAGTCGAGAGTCTAACAATGCTATTTGATATTATATTACTAAGGCAATCGAGACCATAGAAAGTGCTTGATTATTGCAAATAAAACGGGAACATTAGTTACAAATTCCTTCCAAGTTTCTCAGAAATAATATCACTCTAATTTCCATTCCCCAGATTCGATACATTTCATCCATTGTAAAATAACCTTATAATGATTACAATTGAAATCCTCAGTCAATCGCAATTGATAATTCTGTTATTCATGTTCTATCCTAATCGAAATTTTTCACACAACTGTATGCTCCTTCAGCGAGAACTTTAAATTAGGTCAAACTTACAAGAAAATCTGAAATTTGACATAATCTATTTTCTTATAATAAAATAGTTGATAAAACACCCATTAGTAGTATTTTCGAGTTTTAAATTGTCGTATAATTTAAATGTATTAGCTTGTGATGAATTATATGTTTCACGTGCAACGATCTAATACATTAATTACAGATTTGCAACAAAAATTTGTAATTTACAGAATTAACCGACACGTTGCTTGCTGCGCAAGCGTTTGTTTTCTTCATTGCTGGATTCGAAACCTCATCGTCGACGATGGGACATGCTCTATATGAGTTAGCACAGAACCAAGACGTCCAAGATAAACTACGACAAGAAATTAGAGACACGTATAAGAAAAACGGTGGAACATTGACATACGCAGATATCAAAGAAATGAAATATTTGGACAAGGTGTTCAAAGGTACGTACTTCAAATTATTACAATACATCTATTGTAACCTGTTAGATAAATGGAAGATGCTCCTGCTTACTTATAAGAGAGAATAAATTTGGCGTATAACGTGTAATTATAACTGAGTTTCTATAAAAATATATGAAATACAAAACTTAATTAAAAATAAACTTCATTGCAAAACAGAAGCATGTGTAAATGCTTGTTGTGAATTAATTCAATTCTGGCGAATTAAAGCTATGCCAATTTCTCTTGATGGAATAAATACTTCATTTCTTTCACAGAAACACTACGAAAGTATCCAATATTGACGATGTTGACTAGACGAGCAATGGAGAATTACACGTTCAAAGGAACAAAGATTACCATACCGAAAGGAATGAAAATATGGGTACCCGTGTACGGAATTCAGACTGATCCCGATATTTATCCCGAACCAGAAAAATTCGATCCGGAAAGGTTCGAGGACGATGCTGTTGCTGCTAGGCACCCTATGAGTTTTCTACCCTTTGGCGATGGACCAAGAAATTGCATTGGTATTCGAATAAAATAAATATATTATACA